CTGATTTGGGGTTAGGAACTGTGAAGCATCGAGCTGTGACAAGTTCTTTTTGATCCCTTGCTCCCATTGTGAGAAATTCTTTGTTACAAGCACTTCGTGTAGAGTATCACATTTGGTAATTCAAGTGGCAAAAGTTATCCTAATGTGAAGATAGAGTGAAGGGGCATGCGAGTAAAACTGAAGTATTACTTTATGTGAATCAATACCAGCAAAAGCATGAAAGGGTCATAAAACGTGATAAAATCACAATGAGAGTATTTTCTAGTCCTTAAGGAAAATTCTATTTAATGCAAAAGTTCCGTCCTCCACAAAACCCAAACCCTAGCCTCCCGCACATGAAGCGTCACGCGTACCATCACACCAAGCCGCCGTTGAGAAGAGAGGCGCATCCATGCAAGTTAAGTTTTCTTATGTTGAGCTCCCTGAAACCACCCTCATAACTCCGTTCACAGAAACGCTCGGCAAATTCGGAAAGCAGATTTGAACTCAGCATCCAAAAACACGTCCAGCAGTGTAGGTCTCATTTCAAAAGGCCCCTTCGACTTGGGATCCTTCCCTGGTCAGTTTCCCCTCCCTTCTGGATGTGCTGCGATTCTGGCGAAAAAAAAAGCTTTTCCGATTCCTCTCGTCATCTGATCCCTTTTGTAACCAAAGGATGGGCAGGAGGTGTAGTGTCAAGTGGAGCACAACACTATTACATGCGCACGTGCCGCTGTTCAAATCTCAGACCGATATCCCTACGCCGGGTCAACGGTCAGTTGGTGTCAAACTCGTCTGGAAGGATAATAGTACTCTCTTGTATACCGGCTGGCCACCGCATGTCATTGAATAGGCCACGAACGCATCCGAACCTCCACGATTCTGAATTGATATGGAGTGGGGGTGTGTAGGGGTATGGGAGGGGGGCAATAAGCATTGACTAACGCCGAAGACATAATCATTTACTATCCTTTTCGTAACCATTTTTGGATAGTAGCAACGGAATCGTAGTTGGTGATGAATGTTCTTCCCCTAAAGCTTCTCCCCCCTCCCTTCCCCCTGTCTGAGATCTGGGATTTATACAAATTTATACGAACGTTGGAATTTAGCATGGTCACCAAAATGTCATGAGAAAAATCTGCAATAGTCTCTTCACATACTAACTTCCCCCTTGTGAATCGCTTCTGAAGCTTACATTTCTCATATACACAGGTCAGCACTGAAGTTCAGGAGGTCCACACGTGTCCAGAATATGGACAATCTTCTGATTGTTCCAATGGTTCCATAGTTTTAAGGTTTCAAGAGCTAACCAAGCAACGTGCAAAGTGCTTGAGGAATAGTGGTGGCAGTGCTGTCCCTTGATGTGTCCTGAATAGAGCTCCAGAAGCTGGAGGGGTAGGGGGTGGGGGGAAGCGAGGGTAGGGAGAAGTTTTCCTACATGTCAGGGCTTGACTTTCTAGTCTCATTTCTGCAAGTGTGAATTTTTCTAGAGCCATTGGCTCGGAAAGCTCTGCAAAAATGTGGACTATTCTGCAGATACTGTTAATGTACTGACGTCCCCCCTTATATGTTCTCGTATAGGGCACATCTATTTAAAGAAAGCCATCTCAAGCCACTTAATGGGTCTGTTTATGAGCTTGTTCCGACAACAGGAAATTGACTTCACCACTAATAAATGCATTTCAGCGGATAAGATTTGCCAAATCCAACTAGACGGATGTTAATCCGATAATATGATAACGCCGTTGTGGTGGTTGTTGAACGTAGAGATTGCTGTGGAGAGCATTGTTCAGCACGCCATTTTCCATGTGATTTACCCACGACCCATTCTTTCCTATGTTTTGTCCCTTCATCAGACTTCGGACGATGAATCAGTTCGAGACCCATCGAGTTGCTCTGCTCGGGTGATGGATGGAATGTTGAACTTTCGATTTACATAAGAGTGTCCTGTGGAGTGCCTCAGTTCCATCATCAAAGGGATTTTCAGTCTTTTTACTTGAGGCAAATAATAGCAAAAATTCATTACCTGGTAGCTCTACTCTATAAAATCTCAGCAGTTGGAACTAGTGCTCGCCTGAGATTTTTCTTTCGATCGTTTTCTTTCTTGATCACTAACCAACTCCTAGTTCAGTGCTCTCCCTACCTCCCATGCTACTTTTTTTTTGGAACAAATCGTTCGAACCTGCACAAATTTGACAATCGAAACTTTAGTAGAAATAGTCGTGTCAATTTCTTATAAGACTCAGGGTCGGGGAAAGGGGGGGGGGATGTGAGGGCACGCAAAAAGTCCGTTTTTTTCAGTGAAGACTGTTGAGCTACCAGAAATGTAGTTAACTGCCGTAGTAACCATCAGACAGTGCAATATCCTAGCACTGCAGACGTGAATCAGCTCTTTTGACTTTTTCTTCACCAACAGACTTAGGACCATCCCCACACTCATTATTCTCGTCCCTTTTGATTTATTATGTCCAGTGCCTTCAAGCCCATCGAGCACTGGTTGATTACTCTTATAAATCTCAGTCCCGAAGTTCTCCTTCCTCTTTAGCTTCTTCCCAAAGCGTTTGGATATGAAGAATATGAATGAAGGGGGAGAAGTGTTTCTAGTCAGTCTAGTTAAACTGGGGTAATTGAGACTGTGGTCTGAGGAGGATGTGTTCATATATCCAGTAAGGACAAGAGTACGTGTGCACTTTGTCAGAGGGGTACTAGGCCAATGGCCAATGGCTTAGTACTGCTGGAACAGAGAAAGGTTGAGCCTTGAGCAACTCCCTATCCGCTGTTACTTGAGGGGGATTCCTACACGGTAGATGCTTCCGTGAGTACCTATTTGGACAATTCCCTACAATGTATTGGACACCTTCGATATGTATATTTTAAATCCCGTAGGAGGGTCACGTAAGTTGTGTCGTAACAATTGGAAGGGGTGAGTGGCGGTAATTTCCTCGAATTTTCACAGGAAGCAGTGCCCCGTGGTGACTACCGTACCCTCCCATCTTTCCCTTTATAGCGCGCGACCGGGTGCGGCGAACGCGATGTGATTTTCGGGGAGAAGTTACCACAGCCACAAAGGATTGGTAAGAGGCATCAGAGAGTGAAATCCACTGGGCCGGTTCGTTCTTCGTGTTAGCAGTACAATAGGAGGGAAGCAGGGCAGTTTCGGTGTGATATATGGGTAGGCACAATTCATTGGTAGGAGCAGGAAGTGACAACTTATGAGTTATAAGGGGGGTGTATGAGCCAGTGGTGTGATGCAGTTGTACAGGTCAAATTTGACCTCTTTTCGGTGGAAACCTGATTGAATAGGAGCAATATATTAGGTTGATGCATGATTATTGCGGATTTTTTCGCGGGTACTTTTTTCTTGACAAAATTTAACTTTTGAATTCGGGATTTTCGTAGAAATAATCTTCTCGCTTTCCTTAACAGAAATATGCCTAGAAAGTCTTCTTCATACACGCCAAATTATGCTCTATTACTTCGCGAAATGTTGGAAGATGGCACATTCATAAAGTGATCTCAACGAACTCCTCGGCGATGGAACAGTCAGCCAAAGCCGAACAAGGAATGGAATGTGCTTCTGCGGTCGCCCTATTCACCAACAGATACTCCTATGGATTATCACGTTGGTCGCCAGTTGTAAAATTGGTTAACGAGCAGAACTTTCGACAAAGTGGGTGGCTTGATGGCAAACGTCAAGACGAGATCGCCTCAGAAGAAACTTCTTCGCCTGTGGAATCCGACCACTTAGCAAATGGGAAGCAGTGCTTTACGTAAATGGTGGATATGTTTCGGAGCAATTATTAGAACATGTCTTCGCTAGATATTTCTATGGTTTTCAAGTAGAATTTTCTGGAAAAAATCCGCAATAATTATGCATCAACCTAATAGTAAAGATGAATAGTATCTTCCAGTGATACTGGGTATCCACTGTCAACAAATGTTATTTTCTGTAATCTCTGATTCGATGTTCTCATTTATCAATTCCTCTCCGAATTCCCATCATAGAGAAGTTATATGTTCTGATTATGCTCTGAGAGATGCTCTTGCTTCCTCACTCATTGTAGGTTTTTACATCAAGGAGCCTACATACATTGACCGACAGCTGGTCGGATTAATTTTTGATCGTTTCGTCTAGAAATAGCTTATTGAGCCGCTGAAAAGGAGAGGTGAGGCTGACTTCAACCGATGGAATTGGACGTCTCTTTACGAGGCAGAGGTTACTGCACCCCTTTCCGCCTTCCAGATTGGCGATGAAAACTTGACAATCTAGTGTGAGATGTTGTTCACACGGGAGTAGAGGTTAGCAAAATAGTAGAATGGCAGCAGTAGGGCTACCAGGACTCAAGGGAAGATTCGCTCAGTTGTTACGGCTTTTGAACTTATGGTGAAGCTTTAGCAATGGCAACAAAACTTTTAGACTGCTGGAATAGGGAAATCACTAGAAATGAGAGTCTTTGAACAGATAGAAGGACTATGGGCAATGGTTACTTGATCGTTCTCCGTCGCTGATATTGTTGTTACCATTCGCCAGGTTATTACCGAAAGCTTTGCAACGTGATTACGTAACCGCCACTTACGAAGTACCGGTAATCATTGGAACTCCTCTGTTCACCTTCTCTCCCTTCTCTTAGTCGTAGGTTGAAGTGCCCTACTGAAACCAGACGCTTTCCTTTTGAAATTTCGGAATCAAAAATTTAGAACCATTTGCTAAACAATGCACTGGAGGAAGAATACACTGCTTTAATCGTAGACATATCGGAACGAAAAGAGTATCGACCTGGCGGAGTTCGACTCAGACTGGGTAAGGATTGTAAGTGGTAGCAGATTTACATCGGGAGGGACGTTGGCATGCGATAGCCAAGGGAAAGCGTTTATAAATAACGTTTTATGGGGTAAACACCATAAACCTCCATTGAATAGCAACCGATCGATTACTATTCTTTCGTATTACGTGACCGATCAATAATCGATCACTGGCTGAGCCTGTCTGTTTGTTGTGTACTGTTTCAGAAGCCATCACAATGCGCTTTTATCAACTTGTGATGTTATTATGTGGTCTCATATTCTGCCATTCTTTGGTGAAAGCCCAGTTTGGATGGCGATGTGGTTACGTTGGCGGTTGGTGCGGAAGTGAAAAATGGAGAGGACGAGAGTTTTCAGGCGGTTAGTCGTTTCATAAATCTATTTCATCTTATGGAAGGTCCTTCTCCAGAAGGAAACAGAGTGGATGCCTCTAAGAGTTGAACAGTGAGAGTCAAATCACCAAAACCTCACGCTGCCTTCAATACATTCGGATCTCAGATTTCAGTATTCGTGCAAATTCGGTTTTTGAAAGTAATTCTTTGAAAGTAATTGACAAAAAAGCAAAAATAGCTAGGAATGGGGAGGTATATCTTGGCCGTTATATCAAAGTTCAGTAGCTTCCGAGAGCCAGTGAAGAGGCTCCAGGCCACACTGCCGTGTTGGGAACTCATTGTCAGTAATATCCAACTTCAACAAAAAAAAAGAGAAAAGTATAATTGAAGTCTTTAAACGAAGTCAATGTTTGGCCTGAATGGAGGGCATAGATATTTCATAAATTCTT